CGGAGGGAACTGCGGAGTTTAAAGCAAAAATTTCGCGACCCTTTAAACGTGTGAATTTTCTCGCATTTCCATTACTTGAAATGAAATGATCCCACTTATTAAAATGTTTTACTAAATATAAAAACAAGTCTTCTAAGTATAACACGTGATGTTTTTTTTTTTTCAAGGCTTCAAAGAGTGACAGAGGAACGGCTTCATGTTGCATGAAATGACTCAAAAAAAAGACGTCTATTATATCACAATCATATTAATTACCTTTGGTGCTCTATTGTTTTTTTTGCCAGTGATTTTCGTAATCATCATATATTTCATTAGACGGAAGAGAAATGAAAAAAACCTCAAATTATCTATACAGTATGAGCAAAGGGAGGGAAGTACTCGTAGCAAGAGGGTGAGTAATAATCGTGATCGCTTTTTTATTTGTTTATAAGTAATCATAGTAACTAGTACTGATGTAGTATGATACTGGTCATACTAGAATTTTTGTTTATTCTTGTTTTTTTTTCAAACAAACAGAAGCGAAAAAAGAAAAATAAACATGGTCGAAAAATGTCAGGGCAAAAAGGGAACGTGAAGCAACCAACTTCATCCTCAGAGGTTTACCTAAAAGTTTCATTACAACTACATATTACATATTCTAAAAAATTTGCATAATGAGACATTGATGAACGATGGTATATGCAATGGTTTCACCGCAATTATTACTAAAATTGCACAACTCCTTCCTCTAAGAATCTAGTCGGACCTCGTAGTTGATTAGTTGTAAGGAAACGATGACCGACTGATAACACTGTAAGGTCCTCGTTTGTTGAGAAATACCTCCTGGTTTTATTGCTGTTCATGTTGACATAAATCCCTATCTTTTAAGAAATTATCCGGCAGAGAAGCTGCAGTTCCCATAACAGTTACAAGAATTTTCATATAGGACGGTTATACTCGTTGATCGATAACCGCTCATCCTGTACAAGTGCCTACAGTATATTTTTGCGGAGCATCTTAATTTTATGCTTAATAACAATAGAATTATAGATAGAAATATTAATAATGCATTACATTATATTATAACATACATATTAATTACCTATCAATAGAATTATAACGCTGCACTCTCAGATTACTAGTCGACTGTATGATCTGCTAAGCGCTACCTTACCTTAGTAGTTATAACGCGTTGTAGTAAACATAGCTGGCTTCGCGTACAGTAACATTTCAAGGAGCTCGCTCTGTAGCTTCGTACTTTCTTCTGAATCCTACAACTTCTTTCCTTAATATTGATTTCCTTCATCTTCCTACTTTAGCTTCTAACAACATTTGGATAATTCTTGGTGTCTGGCGAGGACAAAAAGAAATCTGCCTTAATTTGCATATGGAAGAGTTTAAAGATATTTAGGCATAGATATCTATCTTTAGCTATTTTTTGTTTGTCGAGTTAAATATTATCAGATGAGAATTAGCTCCATAATTGGAGCCATGACTCTTAGATCACCGCCAAGTATTTGACAGTTGAATGGACAGTTGAATGAACTTGGTATTATGATATAGCTCGAAGAGTTGTTATCCTCAACTTCCGCACTCAACGTGGAGGCTACAAAAGCATAAAGTCTTATGAAGCGTGACTTTTATAAGCTTGCTTCATAATCGGTTCTATACGAATTGAACCAGTGAGCGAAGGGTGCAAATATAAAAGCCAAAATGAATGAATATCGAAATATCAATTAAAATTTTGATTATCCTCTAGCATAAACATCTGAAAGTGAACGGCTACGGGTTTGAGGAAATTTTCCTTTCTCATCTCGAGTTTTTTTGACGTCGTGTTCAGATAAAAGTCAAATTGCTTGAGTTTAATTTCTGGTAGTACTGTTTATTGAGTAACACATAGTGTGACTGCTTCTGTTATGTGATCATCTTCAGCATCATCGACATTAAAATTCATCGATTCATTTGCACAAGTTTAAGATCTAGTGATTGACTTCCAACTGGGTTACTCTTAGTGTAGCGCCTTGTGTTTCCGACAAAACCACACACTCAGCTCCGTGATCTTCATTCCATCTTGAAGATCATCATCAGAGCACAAACACAAAGTCTAATCACTCAAATTTGAGGTTAGGCACATTTAAAAGCTACAGTATCGACCCCATTCTGCTATTTATAGCATTTCCGTTATAGTGAGATGGTGGTTAGGTTTACGTCTCGCCTGCGGCTATAAATTTTTTGATTGACTTAAATAAGTAGAATACTAGTAACAATAGTGCTTAAGCTGATTGTAGTTGGTAGAAAGTTCTGGGTATCTAATTTATCTCAACAAGAAATTGAATATACAAGTCAACAAACCATACGTCAGTAGAGCACATCATACCACTAATTTGCAGCTTTTATCAGTTAAAATACGAGGAAAAAGTGAAAAATTGTTACTTTTTATAATAATTATCTTAAGAGAGTTGAAGAGAAGCAATTGAACTGAATTGATAGTTTTCTTCACAGGTACGGAATTGCGTAGAGGCTATCCGAAAAGCCAAAGGTACCGTAAACTTCAATAATCAAAGTGATGACTGGGAAGCTTTAAGTAGTCAACCAGTTGGAAACATCAGCGAAGCCGTCAACAGTCGATCACCTGTTAGTGTAAATAATAATAGATTTTCATCTGTATCGGTGAACAGTTCGAGCGGAATCGTCAAACAGAAGACTACGTTTGATGAAGAAGTTGAAGAGTACTGCAAATTTATTGAAAGATTTCCTAAGCAATCAAAGTGATACTGCTTTTCAATTCATGGTTATAGTTCTTCATAATGGAAAATCGTTTGTAACAGTTTGATGTAACTGCTATTACATTATATTATTTATTGCTTGAATGTAACTTTTTTGAATATTTTGATCCTCACAGAAAATATTTGTTATAACAATCTTATATATTAATACATTTTATAAAATGATTTATTAACTGTCTTGTTCAAGAAGATCATTATACGATATCAGATACTCATTGTTAGAGGTATAATGAAGCTTAACAGTTTTATTGGTGTTGCCATATTTCAAGTGAAGAGTGGTCAGCTCAAGTCACTGTGTAGATGAGGCTCGCATTCAATCACCTCTACGATATCACCTTGAACACGAATGCGTAGATAAATCTCGCCACCAGGGATCGAGCAACACCTAAGCTTACCGTATCTTATTTTACCATATTTCAAAGACCATTGTTAGGAGAATCACAGCGTCACTTAACAACTGCTGCAATTATTCGTCACTCATCCACGGTAGTTTGGGAGAAGTGTAAGAAGAAAGTAATAATATTATATTTGAGCACTTTTAGGATATATGCGCCATATATACAATTACGTATTCATTAAGGATTTTGAATAGTACATCCTAGTGGGAATAACTTGCCATCAACAATGCAGATGTAATGTCGATATTGCATTACCAGATGACACCGTTAATAGACTAGTGCTGACCTAAACCTATAGATATTCAAAAGAGCATAAAGTAATTATTGAGGAAATACATAATGTGATCGATAACATATCAGAACAGACATCTATAGAAGCGAGTTTTACACTTTAGGTTCTAGGTTTAGTTAATGATCACTCTACACTATGTTGATAATAAAGTGATTAGTTCAAACAGGTTCGAACAAGAGACTTAAGGTTAGCTGCGAATTTGCAGACCTCCCTCTAACAGTTTGAGTATAGACGATCACATAAAGATTGTTTTAGAAAGGTTGTGAACAGGTATGGTTCGATAAGGGTGAATTATTAAAAATTTGCTCCACTAGAGTCAAATGAGGCTCTTCCATTCGTCTAGACTGTGCAGAAAGAATAGTGTTAGCAACAACATTTGAAAATAATCCATCAATACAGACAAAGTATAGATGCAAATCTATGATTTCCACTAGCTTAGTGAAGTACAGAAAGGATGCTCAGGAAATATCGCACATTTCCTATTCATTCATTCTCATATCATCTTAGCCTGCAGCTAAATAACAACATCAAATAGTTCTCCTGTTATTAAGAATAATCATCAATCATATTCGTAATTTTATGTTATTATGCAACGATATTATATTGTCAATAGTTGTGCTGAGATGCTCGCAATACTCGTAACCTCAGGCGGGATTCGAACTCGATCTTACAGACATCCGGTCTGTCGTGCCGATCCATTATATTATCTGCCAGTTATTAACTGCACAGTATCACCACTATCAATCAAGGCTATTTTTTATTGCTACGACTTACTTAAACAGCTATCCCAAGGATAGTCTCCATCTAACAATCTGCATATTATAAAGCCAGATTGGTTCATAATTCTTCGCATTACCGTAATCTGTTTGACACTGTCAACACGTAAATTTGGAGATCAACAACAATGAGTGAAGGTAGTAAGCAAAATGCTTTGCATCGTAGATGGTGAATACAGCGTTTATAAGCTCGAGACCGACGAAAATATACAGGACAGCTACAAAACAGTCAAAACTGTATCAACACTTCAACGAATTTCTGTTCTTCACCATTACAGCACAAGTTCAATCTTTCACATTTCATTATTATACCTTAACACATAAACTTCCATATTAGTTAAACAATATTAATTCAAACTTATTAAAGTGATTATTCGTTATTCCTAACTATGTGGCCCACCATCGTTTTAAATAATATCAGATCATAAATCTACTGAATATTCTCTCAAAGGTGTGTCATTCAATTTCACTGAACTGAAATTAGTACATATCCTATTGATTGATACATACTACCTATTACAATGTTTTGTTGATATGTTTCCATTAACTTCTCCTCTACCAACTGTGCTATCGACGGTTACACACACTGTGACGTGGAGTCAGTATGCGTAGCTTATTGTTATGCTTATATAAAAAATTCAATTACGAAATATGTATAATTGTTAAGCTTTCTAAGTGAAATAGGACAAATAGTTGCCGTACTTTGAAAATAATCCATTAATCTCTATTCGCCATAGGATGGACCAATGTTTGCGACATTCAAAAGCATTCCGTCGAGCCTGATTCGAACCAGCGACCTAAGGATAGCTGCAATTCTACAGTCCTCCGCTCTACCAACTGAGCTATCGACGGTTGCACACACTTTGACGTAGA